AACAGCTAAAATGTGGAAGCAACCCAAATGTTCATCAATGGATGAATGGATAAGCAATATGTGGTACATGCATATAGTGGAGTATTATTCAGTCTTATAAGAAGAAAGGATTTTGACGTACTATGACATGAATGAACCTTAAGGACATTGTGCTAAGTGAAATAAGCCAGTCACAAAAAGACATACACTATATGATTCCACTATATGAGGTACCTAGAGTAGTAAAAATTACAGAGACATAGATTTGTTGTTGCTGGGCACTTGGATGGAGGGGGGTGGTGGAATAGAGAGTCGTTTAATGGATATAGAGTTTCAGTTTTACAAGATAAGAAGAGTTATGAAGATGGATGGTAATGATGATTGTACAACGTTATGAGTGCATTTTATAGCACTGAACTGTACAGTGGTTCAGTTAAAAATGGCTAAGATGGTTTTAGAAAATTGGATTGAAAAGTAAAATTATGTAGAGGGCAAAGCATGTACTTTGATCTCAGTGAAACTTGGGTTCAATTCTCTGGTCCTCAGCTTATTGCTTCTGTGACTTTGTGTAAGTTACAAAAGCTCTCTAAGGTTCTATTTCCTCATCTGCATAAAGGAAATGATAATATCTTCTTTGAAAATTATTGTGATTATTCAGAGAATATATTAAAACACCTGGATAAGACAGAAGCTCAAAAAGCTATTCATACAGATTAGGACCCTCACTGGACACTAGCTGGTAATGTCTGTCATTAGCCAGATGGACTTAGGACAGAAAAAATCTTATATCTGAGAGCATTTTCTGTTTAATTTTTATTTTTAAGGAAACTTGGAGCTTTTCACCCAACTTGAATAGGTACAAGCTCCGCTGCAAGTATTTCGTCAAAATTCATCTTCCTTATCCACCTTTGTTTTACTCTTACTCAGTATAATGTTCCTACTTATGTTTTGTTATATTATATTATATTATATTATATTATATTATATTATATTATATTATATTAATGTTTGTGCAGCTTCAACATTTTTAAGAAGTTGTCTAAATACATGAACAAGGTAAATCACCTAAATTTTGAACATTGACAAATTTCTTAAAGGATTATCCAGTTCAATTATTATTTCTTTAAGCCAATAAACACGAGGAGAAAAGAAGTTAAAAGCAAAATGTCAGTTGACCATGTTTTTCCATTTTCACTGGATTGTCATTGAAGAGAAAACCTGTAGTCTTCACAGTGGCTTATGAAAGAAAATAATTTCATGCATTAAATTAATAGGATCTTACAAGAGCGTTGCTGTGGTATAGAAAGAGATAGCTGCAAAGAATCAAGGTTGTCATTGTTTTCACTAGTCCTTTCTGTGCCAGTTATCTGCCATGAATACCAAAAAACAGAAAACCAAAAATTCCTGAAAAAGTAGATTTTCATCTTAGCCCTATCACTTTATGGATTATCTTGGTAGCTTGGACCATGCCACTTTGTACACATGTGAATACCCCCCAAATCATGAAGGTTGAAATTTTGACCTACACCTCTTACTTCACAGAAGATATCCCACTGCACCTGGTCTACAAATGAATGTTTTTCAAGTCCTTTACCTCCAACACAGTTACTTTTAAAACTGTCACTGAGTCACTTCTTCAAGACTTTTTCAGCAAAATGCTGATTCTATCAGATTTATTTTCAAAAACCTGGATATGATTTCCTCAGCATTTTGAGGGCAAAATGCCAAATTCACAGAACCATTCAAGACAGTGTAAATGACCAAGCAGACATAAAGCATATATTACCAGCTATAAGTCATTCACTGGAAGTTACAATAAACTCTTGCATTTCTTCAGCTATGAACATATCTGGACAGGCTTATATAATAAATCTGATTATCTTTACATTTAGGAAGGAATCACAATGTTATTTGAATGGAGAAAAGATTGGTACTATCCTTGACGTGGTAAAAGAAATCCTTGGCTTTTTTATTAAGTCAATACCCCCTCTATGTATGCTCATCAGGGTTGTTATTTCCCCATTTAGGTGGTGAGTATCTTTTGTGATCATTTATTGAGCCATATCATCATTCTTTGTATGCTCTTGATATGTAAATATTAACAAAAAAAGCATGTAAGCAATTTAATAAGTAAAATTGATATGAGACGTGCTCGCTTCAGCAGCACATATACTAGAAGCGGAATGATACAGAGAAGATTAGCAAGGCCCCTGTGCAAGGATGACACGCAAATTTGTGAAGCGTTCCATATTTTTTTAAAAAATTGATATGAGGCGCAGCCATAACTGTATTTCTCCACCACATTTACCTTTACAAAGTTGTAATATCTTCTAGGATTTCTCCATCCACATAATTGAAGAAATGTTAAAAATGGGCTAGAAATATAAATATTTGATGTACATATCAACCTGAGAGATGTCCTGAATCCTAGAAGTATTGAAATTCATATCAAATTCATTGCAGGCAGTAATGATCCAGGACACAGTTCGCTAAGGCATCCTGTTTCTCTCCTTCTTTGTTAAAACTGTTCTCTACTTAGTGTATACTCTTCCAGAAAGTGGACAAGAGACGGAAAAATGAGATCAAAGTAACCTAATGTTTTGCTACCATAATGGAGGCACCAAAATATCTCATTATAAAGGAGGTAAAATTGTATTTTCCAAAGGGAAATTTGGTGATTATCAGTGGGATTTGATTTGTTCTAATGCTCACTCATTTGGATGGCACTTGAGAAATATTCATAAGTAAAATAATGACATCTGTATAGGAACTATTAATACTTGTTTTATATTTGGACATCCAGTCAGTTACTCTGGATTTTCTCTTTTTCCTACCCTGATGGCAGTACCAAAGAATTCTCCCTGCCCGCCACCTGTCCACCTTGCATTGTTCTTCTCTTTTTGCCCTAGAAGGGCTATAGCAGAGCTAATACATTCTTACCATGATATTTACTGACTCATTTTTAGTCTTATTTTCCAAATTCCACCTCCTGAGGCACTAGTTATGTGGTCACACATGTGTCTCTTGATCATTATTGGTTAATAAGTCTCCTAGCTATCAATCCAAATGACAGCACATACATTTTTCTTACCAAGAAATTCAGTCTATGTGGCATTTACTCTATTTACAGGAAGTATGGATACAAACACAATCCATTGAAATGTATGTGCGGGTACGTGTGTGAGAGAGAGAAAGACAGAGACAGAAATATAGAGACAGGGAGACAGAGAGCAAGCTCCAGAAACCTGCTTCTTGGACACTGAGCATTCCACATATTTATCACAACCTTCCAAATTTCCACTTAGAAGTTATCGACTTCACAGACAATTTTCAATGATGTCCAACAAAAATAAATTACATACTTATAAAGCCTTCTACAGCTATAAAGCAATTTTACAGATATTACCTCATTTGATCATTACAGCCACCATTGCATAATGTAGGACTCTCATTAACCTATCATTACATGGGAATGAAACTTTTTGATAAGTGCTTACAAAATCCTGTAGTCAAAAACAGGAGTCAAAACAGTGGAGTCAAAAACAGGAGAAATGTCAAAACAGTAACTGAAAATGTATGAAGTTGCTGAAGAGCCTGTATAAACAATTCCACTTTGTATTTTACCTGGAATTTTAAACCTAGCAAGTATAATAGATTAAAAGGATCAAATCAAATTGTTAGTTGAGGTTTTCAGAATATCTTCCACAATTAAAAATCTTTTTCTCTTCTTTAAGATGTACAATTAAGAACCTATGTTAAGCCCCCGACTGGTGTGGCTCAGTGTTTGATCATCAACCCATGCACCAAGAGGTTGCCGGTTCGATTCCTGGTCAGGGTACATGCCCAGGTTGTGGGCCAAATCTCCAGTGGAGGACATGCAGGAGGCGGCCATTTGGTATTCTCTCTCATTGATGTTTCTCTCTCTCCCTTCCTTTCTCTCTATAAAATCAATAAAGAAAAAAAAATTTTTTAAACCCTATGTTAATGGAGAGATAATCAGGTTGATTGGATTATCTAGACTGACTTCACTCACACCATGTTCACAGATTAGTCCTCCATTTCAGATTATTCTTCAAAGCAATAGCAACAAAGTCAACTCAATTTTAAAGATGCAGTTATTTTGATATGTGAAAGTTCTATTTTAAAATATGACCCAAATTTTTCCCAATCTTATATAATATTACAGAAGTGTCATATACTGCATGAAATTTAAATTGTGATGAATTACTTATGACATTAGCAGATTTTGAGTATTAATGAACTCAATTAAAGGTCCTAACTTTGTCAACACAAAGTACTTTTCACATATGTGATTAATAACAAAAGAGGGTATTTGAAGCTTAATTCTTTTACCAGCTCCCCAGTGTTAGATTGTGATATCCATATCACAAACATGATAAATACTCTTAATCAGTGGTATAAGAGTTCTCATTAGGTACTCATTAAACTCCTTCCTGCACCTTAGGATAACCTTGAGAAGTGCATTAGACACTAATGAATATATGTTTTCATTCTATAACTCTTATTAATGATAGTGGAATTTATATACATGCACTAAGCAAAGATAGTACGTGTAAACTATAAAAAAATAAGTGATTGGAATTTCATATCTTAATATCAAAATAAAAGATATATTTGTTGATTTGTTTAAATAAAACTCTGCATAAATGCCACATATGGGATAAAGATAAGTTGGAAGAAAAAAATCTTCAGACACTTAAAATACTTAAATGTTTGGCAATAGTTAAGATAAAAATAAATAAACACCTGAATTTTTTACAACAAGAGTAATTTTTTTTAAAACAACCATTTTGGATTCTGTCAGATGTTACAGTCCAGTTCCTTAATGTATTTTTTTTTTTTTTAAAGATATAAAAGGTGATTGTTTTAATATAAACCAGGACTTTTAAAATCCTCTCTAGCACTTTCAGTTGTCACATGGTCATAAACCAAAGACCCAAATAATTTCAAATGATGATACTATTTAGGCAACAATGCTATACTATTTAGGCAACGGTGCGCATGTGTCAGTACTTTTAATGTTGTATACATAAAATGATAATAAAAAGATGATTATAAACAAGATGTCGCCCCTCCATTTCTGTGGTCAGCACACTGCATTACAGTAAACCAAGTTTATGTTCCACCATCAAGTGTGGTTTTCCCATTAGTTCACTTTGTGATGGGTCATTAAGAGTATCTTCAAATCCAATAGTCTCATCACTACCCCTCAAAATACCCAGTGAAAGGTTTGAGCTTGGAAGAAATGGAAGACGCTGAACCTGTTGCACTGCCTTGAATTCCGTTTGCAATTTTAGTGGAGCAAACAGACCCTGGATGTTTCTCAGTGTAGAAAAATTCATTTTATCTTGGTTGAGCTGGAAATTTTTTTCTGATAATTCAAGAGGATGACTGGGCAAAACTTCATTTTTCACACAAGAAAAACCTTTTCGAAGAAGATCATGATTTTCAAAAGGTCCACTTGCGGATAGCTCAGTAACTGGAATACTGTCTTCTAGCTGAGATCCAAGCCCTCTGGTATCCATCTTCAGGTCGCCCTGCGGAGAACTCCTCAGCATGATACAAATGATGAATTGATAAACCACTAATCTCTCCTCTGCTCTTTCTGTTTTAATTTATTATTGTTTTTCTTTATTTTTTATTTTATTTTATTTTTTAATCATCCCCCAAGGACATGTTTTTATTGATTTTTTTTTTAGAGAGAGACAGAAACATCAATGTGAAAGTGAGACATTGGTCAGTTTCCCAGGTAAGGAATCGAACCCACAACCCAGGTATGTACCCTGACCAGGAATTGAACCCACAACCTTTTGGTGTACACTGAATGTTGCTCCAACCAACTGAGCCACACTGGCCAGGGCTATTGTTTTTCTTATTTAAAATATTCCCATGCTCGCCCTGGCCAGTGTGGCTCAGCGGTTAGAGCATTGGCCCTCCGACCAAAGGTTCTTGGGTTTGATTCCAGGTCAAAGGAACGTACCAGGGTTGCAGGTTCGATCCCCAGCCCTGGTCAGGGTGCCTGTGGAAGGCAACCAGTCAATGTGTCTCTCCCACATCAATGTTTCTTTTTTTCTCTCTCCTTTCCTCCCTTCTACTCTATCTAAAAATCAATGGTAAAATATCCTCAGGTGAGAATTAACAAATAACAATAACCCTACATTTATTAAAATAATATATTTCCATGCTCAAAAATGCCTTGCTAAGGGGAAAGACATTATGTAGCTCAAACTAAACTATGACTCAGAGGATATAAAAACCTGCCTACTTGTTTCCTCTTGATTTTGAACACAAGTTAGTTAAATTATTTTAATAGAATGACTATCCAGACTATTTTTCAAATTAATCTGCAATTGAGATTTCCTAAATCTTCAGATGAACCTACCCACAAATACCATTGTCTTTCAGAGATTTTTTTTTTTCTTCTTGCTACCTAAATTGACCTAATGTACTTAAATTCTCTCTTTTTTAACCCTTTTTGGAGATGAGGAAAATGAGGTTGCCATCTTGGAAGAGTAGAATCCCAGATCTGGAAGAGACTGAAAAATTATGTACCTACCAAATAGTAATTATTATTCTTGTACACCGCTAGCACTGAGGAACTCAGTAATATAAAAGGCAGCCCATTTTCTATTGTTAAAACATTCTTTCTTATAATTAGTTGAAATCTACTCTGTGGGTAATTTCTGCCAGAAAAGCCTAGCTCTGAAAGCTTAATGGAATGATTTTAATTCCTCTTCCACATAACAGCCCTTAAATACACGAAGGTTCGTTTCTGTGCTGATGTCTCTTTTCCCTACAGAACATCCGCAGCACCTTCAACCATTGCTTATATAAGATAAGGTTCATTACCCACTGACCTCTCTTCATAGATGTCAGAGAGATGCTCTCCTGCTTCAATAAGGAACCTAGAATTAATCACAATCACTTGGTGTGGGTTTAGTGGTGCTGAGTGCAGGGAGCGTATTATCTTCTCTGAACTAGATACCATTCTTTTATTAATGCAGCTAGGATTGCATTAGATCTTTTGTCAGCCTCGTCACCTTGGATAACCCTCCATATCCATGGATATATTACCAGGAGAAAATTGAGAGAAACTTTTAACAGACCATTTAATCTACCCCCAGCCCCAACCCCCGATCCCTTGATCAAATAGCTGTGCTTTTATAGCACGCTATCCAGAAACCTATGTAAATGGGTCATTAAAAACACTGTCGTTTTTGAGTCACTAAAAAGGGGCAGGGGGAGATTATTCAAATATCCCTTCATTCATTTCTGTCCTCACAAAATCAGTATTTATTATTGAGTCACAACCATGCATCTGATTGGGACAGAGAGATGAGCAGAGCCCTGGATCTCAATTCCTATGTTTCTCAGGTAAGCAAATGAAAATAATGTTCTGCACAGAGCGGTGTGATGGCCATTTCAACAGTGATGGGAAAGCGCAGCAGAGACACCTAGTTCAGCCCAGGAAGGTGAGTGACTCAGGGGCATCACTGAGAACCCATCCTGAGCTGACTCTAAAGGCCAAGTGAGGATTCTCGCGGCTCCCTCTCCTCAGTGCCTGGGTGCTGAAATAAATCAATGAATAACAATGTAAAAAGAACACAAGTTAAAAAGGTGGGTGAGTTAGTTAATTAAAGAGTTGGTTGATTAATCAATAATTTAGAAAAAGAGAGTGTTTCAGGCATGTGCCAGTCTGGGAGATGAGAGTGTGGCCTATTCATAAAGCGGTAAGTAGATGGGTGGAAAGGGAGCCTGTGCTCGTGGAGAAAGAACAAGAACAGGGAGGGAGTAGAGAACCAGGTAGTGGAGAACGGGGTGGAAGGAGAGTGACTGGCTGTGGATGAACCAGCTAGTGCTGCTCTTGCAACAGTCCAGGCAAGAAAGAGAAAAGGGAAGCAAAGTGGGGACAGATTTGAGAGCTACTGAGGACCAAGCAGATGTCAGAGGTAAGGGATAATTCCTTTTTCTCTTGCTTGGGAAACTGTAAAGAAGAAGATTGCATTTACTGTCCTTCAGACCACAGGTAGGACAGGCTTTGAAAGTGGGGGGAATGACAAATCCAACTTGATTTGGGCCACATTGATAATGGGATACTCAGTGAATGGGAAGTTCTGCTCTGTTCCTGCTCAGCAGCTCTGGACTGCAGTGCCCAGACGTGACCAGTAGGTGCTGATGTCTAACAAGATACCTTTGCTTAAACCCTCAGTGTTGCAAAACCCCACAGAGGTGGCTTGTTCTGGATAGCTTGATGACCCACCACGTTAAGCAACCAACCTGTTCCCCACATTCCTTCACCTTTTTAGGGGATGTTTCCCTAAAATATATCTACAAATGTTTTTTTTCCTTTCTCTAGATTTGTGTCTTATTATGTTATAATAGGAAAACAGAAGACCCTCATCTTCCCACCACCAAATTTACCAGCCTTGTTATATCTGTGTCTGTTCTCTGTCTTCCCTCTTTATGCCCTGGGTCAAGTGCCTCGGACTGTATCAAAATCTAGTCCTCCGTTGGTGCTCCGGATCCCATCCTTGCTTACCTTCATAAAGACTTTGCCGGGCTATTATCAGAAAGGATCTCATCTCCCCTCTCTGCTACATACTTACATTCTCTCTCACTACTACAAATTTCTCTTTAAAATACAAATATACTATAAATTGCTCACCTTACAATGAACACACAAATACCTTGACCGACCGAGGTCTACGATTCCCTTCACAGCATAATCTCAAGTGAGTGCTGGTACCTCTCCTTCTCACCTCCCATTCACCACAACTGATGTTGCATTCTAACTTCCAATTTTACAACAGAATTGCAATCAAATTTTTTATACTGCAATAGAATTCTGTCAGATTTCTATTCTCTCCATAAACTGACCAAATCAAGATTACTGGCACACCCTATGTTGGAAGATCCAGTGGTCCCTCTTCACCTGTCCTGACGTTCGACTTTCCACAAGCACGACTGAGGTGGCCAGCCCTGCCTTCTCGGAGCTCTTTCTTCTGCTGGCTTCTGTGACAACACTCTGGTTCCCCCTCATCTCACCGACTGCCCCCTCATGCTCCCTTTGTTCATTTCCCCTCCTGCTCCCATGATTTCCACTTCGAGATGTCATGAATCTCACTCAACATACAAAACAGATTTGTGATTTGCACCCCGAATCCTCTCTCAGTATCCCCCATTTCAGTAAATGGCACCACCAGCCATTCACACTGTTGCTCAAGCCAAAAGCCTGTGAGTCTTCCTTGCTGCCTCCTGCCGTTCCTTCACTTCTCACATGCAACCCACCAGCAAATCCTGTCGCTTCTGAAATATACCTAAAGGTCACCCACATCTCCCCACCTCGAGCACCTCCTACCTGGTCCCAAGACCATCCCAACCTGCCTGGACTGTCCTTACCACCTGACACACCCTCTGCTTGTACTTGCACTTCCCTACAATCCAGAGTGATCATTTTTAACATGTTTCAGCTTATGTCCATCTCCCGAATAAAACTCCCCAATGGCTTCCCACTTCACATAGAATGAAATCCAAACTCCTTATCAAGACCTATCTCGAGGCCCAGCCTCCTCTTCTACTTCAGTTCTTCCAGAATTTTCTCTACTCACCCTGCCTCACTTTAGCCACATGAGCCCTTCTGTTCCTTGAAATCACAAAGAAGCTCATTCCAACTTCAGGGACTTTGCATTTATAGTCTGTCTGCCTGGAATACCCTTCCCTCCGGACTCCTATGCATTTAAGTGTCTGCTGTCCGGGCTCACTATTAACAGCCTTCCCTGATCTAGACTCCTCTCTCCCAGCTATAAGTTAGGTCTCTATCACACTAACCTGTTCACTTGCTCTCACTTTTCACTATCTGAAATTAACTTTCTTTTTTACATTGCTATCTGTCTCTCTCCACTGGACTATAAATTCAATGAAACCAGGTCTCTTGTCTGTTTGAATCACTCTGGATCTCCCCCAAGCCTGGCATATATGAAGTGCTTAATAAATAATACATCAACGATAAAGCAGGGATAAACGTGGCTTGGCTTTGATTCTGAGATTCCCGATAAATCAAAATAACATTTACGGAGATAGTAGTTTTCTCCTTTAAATGTTAAAAACATCGTGACCTCGCTGGAGGTATTTGAAAACCTTTGATTTAGAAGTGTGAAGAGGGATATGAAGTCCAAAAAAATTTATTTTGACATGGAATTCATACAAGGTTGTGTGAAAACATTTACATGTGACTTCTCCTAATGAAGTTATACATTTTGCAGAACTTTTGCCCGGCCGGTGTGGCTCAGTAGAAACTGGATTTGCAGTAAAAAAAAAAAAAAAAAAAAAGTAAGCCCTAGCCAGTTTGGCTCAGCTGTTAGAGCGTCATCTGTGGACCAAAGAGTAGCAGGTTTGAGTCCAGTCAAGGGCACGTACCTCCGTTGCGGTTTGTCCCCAGCCCTGGTCGAGGTTGTGTGAGAGGCAACCAATCGGTGTGTCTCTCTCATGTCGATGTTTCTCTCTCTCTCTCTCTCTCTCTCTCTCT